ATAATATGCCATGTCAAGTATTCAAGCGACACAATTGGATCATATATTTAGATATGTAAGCAATATTTTGAATGAATGCCTTAATAAACTGCCAGAATGTAATTTTAATATCATTAAATACGGAAAGGAGTATCTGACTAGTTTGTGTAGGGTCCGTACGCAGCAGGGTTCCATGTATGAGCCGGGGAGCCCTAGCAAAATTTGACTGAAATCCCCAGCGGCGTCGCCACCGGCGCGGGATGATCAATTTCCAACTCCCAACGAAATATTCCATGCGCCATGAATAATGGAAATGTTTGGAATTTAATTGAATAGCTTTGAAAGTTTAAGAGTTGATTTTATGTTATTTTTTTTGCGATGATGTAGAACTAAACAGTGGGTCGAGAACATATTCATAATTATATGTAATTGGTGCATTGATATAATAATAATAACCCTAAAAATTTTATACAGTGTCATCTAGTCATAGTTAGTACCTGAAATAATCCATACTAATATTAAAAATATCATAGTGTCTGCTTATTTGTTATGTTTTCATTAAAGGCCTGAACGAACAATAATCACATTTGACATGAAAACCATTGCTACAAATATGGACATAGACTATTAGTGATTTCAAAATAAGAGCAGACAATGTCACGGGTAACAGCTAGTAATAAATATTAACAAAATTAATTGAATTATCCAATTTTTTAAATAAAGTACATACAATTTTTTTATTTATTATCTTTGCATAATTTAGAGGTATTATTATCGTTGTTATAATCATAATCCACCATAAAACACCTTGCATAATTCCATAGCCGATGGTCACAGCATGGAAATCAGTGTAGGGTGCGTCAATACCATAGTTTATCGATACATGTGCTCACGACATATTATTTGAGCTTTTGTACGCCTACTCATTACATTGGAGGCAGTGGTGCGAAACGGGGGTTCTTTACACTCTATGATGTGTTATTTTTGTTAATTTGTACTTTTACCCTTAGCAGTCCTTCGGGGATGAAGTTATAGGTCGTGTATATTGTACTTTTAAAATTGAAATTACTATAATGTATATACATACTCTTTCAAACATAGATTAAAATTATAATTATTTATAGGTCCATCATACAATATGTAATGTTAAATGAACTATACTCTTTCTCCACTTTTATATATATGCAAAAAATCATGTTTACACATCAGTGGAAAAAAATATTTACATTATTTGTATTCAATCTTAACTATCTCACTCTAACTTTAGTGTTGAAGATCTTGGTGTCCCTTTCGTACGTCCTAATATGCATTGGGCGCATGTATTACAATTTTTTTTATTTATTTTGTATAAAATGACCTCCGTCTCATCTTTTTAAGATTTGTTTTGTATGAGGGGTGATATATAGATACATTATATATATGATATTGGTGATGATGATGAAATTATGTCTTAATCCTGAATGTCAACGTAAGAGTGACACTGCAAGCTTTACAAGATAACGTCATGTCCGTGGTGCTGTTCACAATAAAGGCGATGATTACCATTTACCATCAGTATGTAATATTATCTTATCTGTCCTATCAGTTAAGCCAACAGCTTATTTGCTATTATAGTTACACGTAAAAATCTTGTTGAATGATAGATCTAGTTGTACTACAATGTCAAGTTTCGAGCGAAAACAATGCGTGCACCGTAAAAATCAAGTCGGACACTAATTAACGTCGGCAGGCCATTGTAGTACATAGTAAGTATGGCTCGCCGCTGTAGTAATTTCCTAGAATAATTAGCATTACGTGGAGCGATTTCCGAGAAGCTCGGCCGCGGTCACGCTAGCGTACTACTGGATTGCACACCGTCAGTTATATTAATCATATAAATATAACTGTACAATATCGTACTACATAATAGCCTATCCATCACCTATAAATAAATGAATATAGTTGATAGATAGATTAAATATCTATTTTGTATCTTATTTCGTCCACAGATTTTACGTTTAACTTCTCATTGCATTGTACAATTTGTACATGTTCTTGTTAATCATATAAATATAATTGTACAATATGACAATACATAATAAACTAACTATCACCAATAAATAAATATAGGTAATAGAGAGACATATAACTTTGTCCACAAATTTTTATTTTATCTATAGAGCAGCTTTATTATTAAAGTTGAATTATCAGTAAGATATCTTTTTTTATGTATTTGGAATAGAAAGCTGACGGTAAGCCCATGGTGGTAAACTGTGACCTTCGCCCATATATGAGTACATGAACGGTATTACGGAAATCATGTTAGCATGTGACACACGAGATATGTCTGATGCATTGCCATTCCAAAGGGCTAAGTCTTGTCATGACTCTTATCCTGTAATTTCACTGCCTAATATGACTCTCCAAATAAAGCGCAAACTTACGCAGCACGTTTCTTGGCAGCCGCCAAATAAGTGAGATTGTTACTTAACTTATTAATTAAAAATTAATCACAATTATAAGACCACATGTTTAAATTAGATCACATTAAAATAATGTGATATTGAATATCAAGTAAAACCATTCTATTACCATTGTAAAGTGAACTCAAAAGACTTTTACGTCTACCTCTGGTTTAACTCTAACTCTTTGCGGTAGATTGTACCACGGAAGCCTTAAGTCTACCTCTAGTACAATCTTGTTTATACATGAGGCCGGGGCGTGTCACTAGTTTATAATATCACTGAATGTACGTTGCACTTGCAGCGTTGCCTTTTAGAGGTGGACGAGCCGAGGGCGTCACGGCACGGTGACGACGCGCGTCGCGATAATTCGACACCGAGATACGATCGTCATGCCCAATTGTTATATATTTATTGTTGTACTTTGTTTTATTGACGACATCTGTGCTACTCCTGCGAATAATTTGACAAAATTGTATTCCTTAACTAATAATATTATTAGAAAAAAAAAAAACAAAAATTTGTATATTTATTTTTGTTTTTTATGACTTTCGAGAAATATGATTTCGTCGCGAATAATGCAGGAAGGATATTGGGTGTACCTCTTATGTTTTTTTATGTATTAGGTATATTTTCACTTTTGGTGCATGTTAGTAAGAAATATACATTTTATGGAAAACAATATTTGTTTTAACGTCATTATGAACGGGGAATTACGCGGTTAGTATTATTTGTATTAAAAATAACACCGCGCTAGCTCTTAACAATAAACAAAAAATATTAGAAATTATTTAAAAAATGTATTCTTTACGCCATACCAGCAATTCCGTCAATTTGTATTAATTAAATTAGATGTATGTATACAATCTATCTAGTTATCCTATACCTATCTATATCCTGATGTACATATTGTAATTCATTATTGTGATGTTATGTAAAATAGTTTTATAAAGTATCTTCTCTTTACATCAGGCTTGATGTAATAATACCTTCTCCGACCCAAATCTATACGCCATTCAATAATTGGTTCTCAAGAAATGGTACAAAACAAACTCACTTTCATATTAGAACAATGTGTAGCGATACAAACGAAGGTAAATAATCGACTAGCGTAGTAATAAAATAGAAGACACCAAAACAAACTCGGAATTGCGACTGCCACCCACTCGATATTCGAAGTGATATTACAATGTCTGTAACGAGCACGGGTCATCGACCGAAATCGGCGCGGGCGCGACCTTGCATCCTCTGCTCACCTACATACGCCGACACCGACACCGACACCGCGGCCACTTTTGCTTTCGACATTCGCAAAAAATGAACGACTTCCAATGTTGTTCAATCGAAATATACTAATAGATGGATCGCGTGCGAAATTAACTCACAGTGTGTCCTATTTTCATATACATTTACTTTACTTATCGAAGAATACGAAGAGAATAACATTTCGCTACTAGTTAATTATCATTGATATAAAATAATGTGAAAATTACACCAAATATATCAACAGTTTGCGTTCAGTTGATATGGAATAACGCCGACGGAAATCAAATATTATTGTTACTGATTCTTCCCCTGGCAGCAGTTAAAATTCTTTTGCAGTCAAATCACAAAATCCTCGGGACTTAACGATGTTCAATATTATATTAAGATCCCCTAAAAGATACCTGAGATGCCGTTTCTTAAAATCTTAAGTTTAAAAATTGGGTCAATTAGCAACAAAGCTCCCACCGAAGTGCGAGAAAAGAGGGGAATGTATAACCCTGGCTATAGTTATATAATGTGGCTTCACAAAGGGCGAGGGTGCACCCTTGACAAGCCGAGACAACACCCCATCCACCCCACACTCGCACCCAGCGGGATCGCTTAACTCCCCTAAAGTCATCAAAAAAACACCCACCGCCCCAACCTCAAAGTTCATAATCGTATGCAGAACATTTCGTAGGTTACATGTCAAAATTGTGTTATTCGACATTTACCTGTGGATCTCGCGCAACAAAAGATTGTTAAACGAGTTACACGAGAGTGTGCTCCCAGAATAAACATTTCACTTATGACGTGGGAGTTGTGTTATGTGTATAAGTAAGCGACTTCAGACGAATAGCGTCACGTTCCCCATCAGGTTAAAAGCATGATTGATACTCTCTTTAAATACTATAAAAACAAATGTGGATGGTCACATCGAACAAAGAAAAAGTAAAATATATTTTTTCATTTGTCATACAGTGTCTTGTCGTTGTAAACTCTACGTGCGGTGAATGTCACACGGCCGAAAATAATTCCTATATGTGCGGGTCGGTCAGTGCAGTAGCGCGTCGCGTTGCGTCACTGCACTGGACCGGCAGGGCATTGCACCTTGCGGCTCGTGAGCTCCCGCCAACCAACAGTGCGCTTGCTGTCCTGCTCGCGCGATCTCTTGTCTATGCTTGCACACGATCGATTGTACTTACCCATTCAACAGCTGATAATCATTAAGCGTGATCTGTGACATCATTATACGAAAACACTAATAATGTCAATGTGATATGAATTTTCTCTCTATTTTATACATTGCTTAATTGTTATCATTTGTTGTTTCAGTGGCGTGGCGGTGCTGAGTCCGACGGAAAGTGGCGGTTGCAGCGGTAGCGATATCACCGAGCCTGGCTCACCGCGCAGCCCCGAGTCGTCGTGTAGCACCGCAGAGGAGAGCGCGGGATCGCGCATGCCGCCCTGGGCGAGCGACCCGGCGCCGCCGGCACCGCGACGCCTCGCGGTTCAACCCGCTCCTGTACGCCGGCCACAACAATCCATACCCCGCCGTATCACAGAATATTTTAACCATAAAATGAAGCCTCAAAATGGTGTGAAACGGGATTCAAGTACCGCAAGCAATGAGGACTCCAAAAGAAAGTGCCTGCCTAAAAATGGCGTCACACACGACCTTGAGAAATACATTTCTTACATATCACAGACACTAAGTCCTAAAGTACTAATGGATGTCAGTAAGCAAGCTGAAGTTCCTCCGGGAAAAATGTTGAATCAATCTACTAATGCAATTTTTGATGCATCAAAACCAACAGATCTCAGTAAAACAGGTGGAAATGTAAATGGAATGGTGGATTTTAATAAGCCTAAAGATAATAAAGATAAAAGTCACACAAGTATGAATGGTTTCGTTGAAGTTCGACAAGTGACAGAATTATTTTCAAAAGAAAAATTTTCAACCACTCTTTTGAACGGTTCGGTTGACGGTAAAAAACAAAACCAAGCCATCAAAATGGCAACAGACCCATCCGCCAACGGGACGATGAACGTACATAACACATGTCCATTTAATAAGCAAAAAGTTGCGATACCAGCATCAAATAATATTGTTGGGTTAAGAATTGCGCCTGCGACGTCTGTAAGTCAGTCACCCAAAAGAAATTCGGAATCTAAACCTGACACTACTAGAATTAACGGTGTCGTGAGTTCTACTACTAAATTAGATAACAGAATGAATGGTGTTACATGTGGATCGAATAATTTAAGTTTAAATCCTATTACTTCCAAGTTACTGACTACAAAAAAAGACGCGGTAAAGAAAACGACACAGCAGTCTAAAAGAACAAATCGAAAATCATCCGCGTGTATAGCTAATAGTAAAAATATGACGTGGTCTAAAGCAAACAATCTCAAGCAAGTGCAACTTCAAAAACAAAATTGTGTTAATTCAGTTCAGAGTTCGACTATCAAAGGCATGTCTGGTGAAGCTAACACAACGCCAAAGATGAATATTTCAAATGGTGTTCACCAAGTTTCAATGACAGTGAATAGTAGTCTTGGAAATTTGAATGCACCAGTGACAAATTTTCAAAATTGCCCAATAAACATCCCCCAAGCATGTAATGGTACAGTGACATCCAATAATTTGGCATCTTTTGTTGCTGTTCCACAGAATGTAATGCTTACCGCATTAAGAATACCACAAAATGGTATACCAGCTCAATCTCTAAATCAACCAACTAATATGGGTTTCAATAGACCTAATGTCAATGTTACGAGTCCTACAAAATTAAATGGACAATTTGTTTTCCCTCTTGTACAAAATATAAATGGAACCGTTGTACAAATACCTAATTTAATGGCCAAAATGCCTAATTTTGTTCTACCGCAGACAGCACAATTAACACCACAACGACAAGACCACTTACAAAATCACCAGCAAATTCTTATAAATGGTACACTTTTAAAACTGGCAAACACAATGACATCCGCATATACAAATGTCAATAAACCTCCGCCAGTTACAAGTCAATCTATTCCCGTAGTGAATAAAAATCTCACAGGAATGCAACCCGTAGGAATGACAGTACAACCAAAACCGAATTACACAGTTAACATAAGCCATCCATTATTAATGCCGCAACCTGGTTTTATTGTCACGTCTGTGCCAAATATAAATGTGAAAGAGACTTGGAGTTACTCGAATACGAACACAACATCGTCTTCACAATCGACATGTTCAAATCCGATAGTCCAACATCCTCCGCCTATTGTAGCCAACTTTACAACTCAGGCGTTACATACGAGTAGTATACCGATAGCACCAGTGAAGCCGCCTGACAATCCTATCCAGGGTACTGAACCACCAAGTAGCACAGTAAACGAACCAGAAATAAGTGAAGTAAGTCCCAAGTGTGATATACCATGGCTGTCAAAAACTGTTAATAATAACATTGTTCCATTAGATAATAATAAAATGTCATCGAGGCCTTTTGCACAAGTTAGTTTATCAGAAAAAATTGAGGAATTGACAATGGAGAAAATGAGGGTGTGTAAGACTTCAGAAGAAAAAGAGAAAGAAATAAGGAAAGAAGTCACAGATGAGGACCTGAGAAAAGTGGAGGAAGTTGCGAGGCGAGAAGAAACTATATTCACGCAAATAACTGTTCTCAAGGATGTTTCGTCAAATGTTCAAAACACTGTGATAGAAGCTAATTTCTGCAATGCTACCACAGAGTCATCTGAATCTGGAATAGGTACAGATAAGTCCATAGACTCGCCGAGTGACTCGCAGACTAGTAAGGAGTGTGATGAAGATTCCTCGTTATCTTTAAGTGTGAGTGTGTGTTCAGTGGAAGTGAAAAGCAGTCAGAAAAGTCCTATTCTGAAGCAGCCAAAAACGTTGCGGTTCCCACCTAGGAACCCAACAAGCAAGGCAAGCAGCGACAAAAGGACATCTAGTACTGATACAACGTCCACAGTTACGGTGTGTTTGTGGGAGAATTGCAAGCGAGAGCTTGATAGTGATAGTGATCTTTTGGAGCATTTACAGGTAAATTTACTTTTTTTTTTTTTAATTAAGAAAATATACAATATATTTTTGCAAGTAAATAAACAAAGTTATAGATCTCAATCTACTCTAAGCTGATTAATTTGCGTACAGTTTTTTAATACAATGCTTATGAATATTCTTCTTCTCTTCAATTTACACAAATCAATTTAAACTATACTTTATGTGCATTAATGTATATAAATATATTATCATAATAAACATATTTATGAACTAATAATTAGTATAATAATAAAAGTTAGAATTACGCGACATAAGTATACGTTTTACATTTTAAAGCTCTATTATTTGTATCTAAATTTTCAGACTGCCCACGTGGAAACCCAAGCAGGGAAAGATAACTATGTGTGCCTATGGGAACAGTGTAAGGTCCGCGGCAAGCCTTCATGCTCCAGGTTATGGCTGGAGCGGCATACACTCTCACATGGCGGGAGCAAGCCCTTCAAATGCATAGTCGACGGCTGTGAGAGGAGATTCTCTACTCAGGTATAATTACGTTCTTTGATTATGGTAATATCTACGCCTTTATCCTATTATAGATAACTATTGATTTTGTTTGGTCCTAAAAGTGTACCTTGTAATTGTTAGCATTACCAGGAAAAGGCGGGTATATGTTCGGACCATATACTATAAATTGTATTGTATATACAGTATTCTTAAATATGGTAATCGCAATATAGCAATCTCAATATCAAAAGCAACAATTGTCTTCCATTGTTATGTCAATCGTCTATAAATCTAATAACAAGTCTTCTTATCCTAGTCCAGGATGCTCATCGCCAAAACGAATCCACAATAACACTCTCTTTCTTTAGTAGCACTGAATGGGTTATTGTCTATATCGTTCTGACGGTTAGTAATGTTGGTATTCTTTATAAACTCATCAATTGCGATAAGATTGTTTGTTTTATGTTTATGTACTTATTGATAATTTGTTCAACGTCTTCGACATAGTTGTATCTTCGAATAAGGCTATGCATTTCGATGCATTTATTAATATTATTATAATAACATTATAAATATTTCCAGTTGCCTAATGGATATCAGTGTCTTTTATTTTTAAATCATACCATACAGTAATTTAGTTATCATCGTTTCCACTCTCTAGTGATTGTATCATTTACTTTGTTTGAAATTGTTGTCGAAGAATTTGTTGTGGGTTTACTTCACATTTCATTATATTAAAATTGGTTGAGGTGAATCGATCAGTAGTGGACTGTTAACACATAAATTCTTTTTCAAGTCTTCATTTATTCTTTTTCAAATCATTTCTGTTCATCATTCATATTCTAGTTTAACTGGTATAATTGCCAGATCTTTCTTTTTGTATTTACTTATCCTCAGAAATTATACTAGAGAGATGGTGTACTAGAGAGAATACAATCCGAACGATAAATTTGTGTATTCTTTTGTTTCCTAAGGACTGAAGAGGATCTGAAACACAAGAACCTCCTCATAGATGAACACACTGCGAAGTGTTATTGGTTTTTTACAAACCAATAAATTTATTGTTATTGGAAAATAAATTTATTGTGTTCTTCGACGATGCCGGTGCAAGCTGTGTATATTTTACAGTTCCAAGAATTATCTAACTTTTTTTTCTATATTAATACTAAAATCTTATTTACTAACCAATATGCTATTTCGAAATTCTATTCTTTATTTTTGTAATTTTTTATATACACGGTAAATGTCTTGTAAGATTATATCTTATATGATTATATTATTGAAATAATCGTGTAATAATAATTTGAACTAATCCTTACCTGCACTTGCGTCGTCATTTTTTCTTTCTTTTTCCACAACATGGATCTACATCTACTTACACCAAAGGATGAAATCAAGTATTGTGTTAGGCGTAACTAAATGATAAGAATTTACTACATAGCCTGTACGGAGGTCATCCTCTGTGTAAATTTTCATCAAAGTCAACGTATGAAGATTAAACGATTTCAAATACTTCTGAATTATTTCTAAAACACCTAGAGTTACAGACTTCACTGTATAACACGTTATTATGTTTATAACAATGAATAATATTGATGCCATTGCTATATAATAATATATATACAGACAATTATTCATGGCGTGAATGATCAATGAAGCCATGGCTTGTACCTTTTTAAAATAATATTTTTAAAAGTAGTCTACTCCTTTTAAGTACTCTGTTGGTACAGGTCTAATTATCGTTTTCAGCAAGTTTTCTCCTATATTGATGCGAAAAAACTCCTAATTTTTCCCTGATGCAACTGTATTTTCTTTTTTCTCTTCATTAATTTCTTCTGTTCAGCAGTCTATAATGCTGTCGTATGCAGATACCAAGAAATAATTATACAGAATAAATTTAAATCGTTGAATTTTTTCCTTAACTTGCAAGCTCATACGTTGTTAACTTTAAATCTGTTAAATAATGTCATATTATAGATGATATTATTATAGGTAATAATGAAATACGTCAAAATCAGTTTAAAAATAACCAATAGAATAGAATAGAAAGATAGAAAATGGTAACAATATTCAAATGTAACAAATTCGCTGAACTTTCCAGATATTGTTGGAGCGCCATGTGAACAACCACTTCAACGAGGTCTCGCCCAACACCAGCGGCAGCAAGAAGTCCACCGACAGCGCGTCAAAGCTCATCCGTCGGAATGGCAAGAAACTCCGGTACAGAAGGCAGCCGTGGTCTGGTGAGTTTAATCTTTAGATTCCTATTAATGGTACTAAAATTTATACTACTATCGTATAGTTTAGTACAAAACTATCAGAAATATATGTTACTACATAATGTTAAATTTATCCAAGTAACACTTTGTGCAAAGTCGTCTGCGTGGGGTGCCTTTTACAGACTTATATCTCCGCCAAGCTGACTTCTGTTTTATGTTAGTGAAATTATAGGATAAGACTTGATACCTTGGTTTTTAGAAATGTTAACGCATAAGAATTAATCGTATCTACTTTTTTCGTTTCGTAAATTTCACGGGCGTCATAATTTTCATGTTCTACGGTTGCTATTATGAGGTTGGCATTTTTTAAAAAAATTCAAAGGCATTTCAAAGGCAGTTATAGTTTTTAAAATTGTAAAAACAGAAGTTTAGACGACAAGATAAATTGTACACGCAAGACCAATCGCCTCGATTAGCGGTGACATTTATGATACATTGTGATTAAATTCCACCATACATGGCGTCATCGCTACTTCCTCATGTCATAGTTTGTATTCTAAACTAGTCCAAGTCAAGTAGTGTATTATAAATATTTTGCTATCTTCAATTATTTATATGTCAAGCAAATTATATAAAGACATACAGTTTATTTATTAGTCATCATCAAAATACACATTCCCAAACTCAAAATAATTTAAATACATAGGAGATTTCGGCCTCTTGTGCACGACATATTTTTAATCACTATTCTTACCGTCCATTATAAAATTAACTCAATATGGAAAACGACAATGAAAACGGCCAGATAGAATTTGTCTATGAGTAATAATTGTTATTTGACATTCAGTATATGAAATGTCAAACATTAATATTTTTTTATTTAGAATAACCTTCGTACAACTGCATCAATTTTTGATTAACATCGTGAAGTTAAAGTTATAAAAATAATATTATACGAGTACTACATGATGAAAAATAAATAAAAGATCTAATGATAAATCATTAATAAAACGCCAGATGATTCTTAAAAGTATTAATTAAATTTCGCTGGCTTTTATGGGCCTCAAGCAAGAGCCACCCGAGCATACCGCCGGTGTCAACCACCCCAGCGTCGTCGTTCTTTACTAAGTAGAGATATGGATGTTCCAGCGCGCATGTTCGACTTCTTCGACGCGGGTACGATGGAGGGCCTGGCGTGGCGGCTGTCGCAGTGCACGAGGTGGCGGGTGGGCGGCACGTGTCCGCTGCGCGAGCCGGCCGGCCGCCACACGCTGACGCTGCACGCCGCGCTGCGCGCCTCGCGGTACAACGCCGCCGCTGACCGAACCGAGGCGCTCGTCACCTACTTCCCGCCGCATGTGTAAGTTGCCCTTAATGTCTTAATACGTGTCCTCAAACTATAATTGCCCTAAATGGCTTAACAGGTGCCTCAGATTCTAATTTCCCTAAATGTCTTACTAGGTGCCTCAGATTATAATTGCTCTTAATGCCTTACTATGTGCCCTCAGACACTAAGTGTACAGTGACAGCAAGGAGTATTTGCTTGCCCTTAGTGTCTTATTACGTGCCTCCAGACTCTAATTGGCCTAAATGTCTTACTAGGTGACTTAGACACCGATTGCCCTTAATATCTTACTGTGCCCTCAGACTCGAAGAGTCCAGAGATGACAAGTAGTATCTGCTCGCTCTTAATGTCTTACTACGTGCCCCCAGACTCCAAGTACAGTGACAGTTAGTAGCATTAGCTTGTCCTTAATGACTCCCGCAGACTTTAATTGCTTTAAATGTCTTATTAGGTGCCTCAGATTATAATTGCCCTTAATGTCTTACTACTTGCCCTTACAGTCTTATTACATGCCCTCAGACTCGAGGCAGCAAATAGTATTTTCTTACTATCTACTTGATTACTAAACCAAATTGGTCACACGTCATCCTGTTATAGAATTCCGAGACATAGAATCCAAGTATAAAGGTAGTCGTTCATCTTCTTGATGTTTTTAAAAATGACTGTTTTATGTCTATTTGTAAGTAGCTTTATGGCACTTTCCTTTTTTATATACCACAACGAGCATACAGCCCCTAAATTAATAAGGTGATAAGTCCCGAGTTCGATTCTCGGTCGAGCCCATTAGGCTATTTGGCTTAGTTCTTAACAAAGCATTTAGGGCAGATAACATCTTTATAAAGGAATTAAAAACACTTTCGATTGATTATCTAATTAGCTATTATGATATTGTTAAGGAATATTCAATCAGCTTATATTTTTAATGTATATACCTTTATATATAAAATATTTAATAACAAAACTGTCATTCTAGATAACACAATAATTATTTCAATTAAAATACTTCAATAAAAGTACTATCATGATTTCAGTGATGATAAGTATTTACAATAACAGTTCTAAAGAATTTAGATATTATTAAGTACACGTGATATAGTAACCTTGATTGCGCGTGTATTATTTACAAGTTCAAACATTTTGATATGTGTTGATCAGGGATGTTATGGATGTGAAATTTCGGACACGGATAAGTTTCGGATATAGAAATGATTATTAATTTCTGTTACGGATATTATTTTTAAGTAATTTCAAAAGTAAAATACAAATAGTTATAAAAGGGTTATATAACATGTCTAAATTGGGCTCCTCTATCGGATATTATCCGAAACTTTTATTTCGGATATCCGATAGTTTCGGATACGGTTACGGAGGTCCCTAACATCCCTGGTGTTGATATATTAAAATGTAATTATTTATGAGTAGTGTAATAATATCACATAGTTATCTGTAATCTAGAATGACGGTGCTTGTCCTTTATAACATTCCATAGTATAGCGTGTTTTTCAGGTAAGCCTAACTTGTGGAGTTATTTAATTTTCGACTTTCGTGCGAGCACGTACGAGTTCTAATGTTAGTATTTGTGCTTAAAGGGAGTATCGTTTTCGTTGTTAGGTTATATTAAATCAGAGGTTTAAATCTTAATTTAGAGTATTGGCGAATTAATGTTTGTACCATCTTGAATGAGAAATTTCTCAATTTTATAATAGCGACTGACTTGTGAGTGAAATATGCAATATTTTTCAATATATTGCAGATTTTTTCATTAGTTGTGAACCGATTTTAATTATGTTTAATGGCGTGGATTACACTCCACTTTGGTTCACAAATTCACATAATATATAGTTAAAAATAAAATTTAATCTAATTCTTAATAGTACATAATTGTTTATCAATTGGTTCGATTACATGATTTCGATGGTCAATACATTTTACTTCCACTAGTATATATCTATATTGTTATTACCACCTATGTTACAATGAAAAGGCATATATCATCTGTTCTTTAGATACCCAATTCGTTGTAGTATTACCGTAATTAATTTATTAACATATTACACGATCTACTCTCCAGCACAGAGTTAATCGGATATTAAATATGTATGTAACTTAATCAGGTAATGAACAGGTGGGTTGTTATGAATTATTTTATATTTTGCGCTCATCTACATTTCATTGCAAAACACAATTTTTATTACAAAGTTGTTCACGATTAGTTCTATGTCATTACACATCATCTTCAGTCCATTCTTGTGTTACCTATCACAGAAGACAGAAAGTGTCTTCTCTTCTCCAGCCAAAGGTTGTCTGGAAGTGATTGCTTAGCGATAAGATCGCCTTTTGTACATAATTACTCTAATTTATGCTCTTTGGTATATTTATTAAAAAAATCTTATAATAATTTTTGACATAACATCAAAAGATAACATTTTTTGAGCATGCAATTTCGACCGCTAAATAGCACTACGTATATATTAGGACAATGTAACAAATATCCAAGTGTACCAGTCCAAAATTTTTGGACTTCTACACTAGAGAAAAAGACAATAATATAATTTCATTCTAAAAACGACTGATCGATTATTTATTACTATATTTAGTTAATAATCTTTGAGATCTGCACATATCCTTTAATATTTTTTTTTTGTGTAGTCTAAATTGAGTCATATTACACAAAGCAACTGGCATATTTTCGCTTCATGGCATGCAGTTGGTCTTATAATATTTATGTGTAGCGTATTATTATCTTATGTACCACACAGGTGCACAAATAATAGTTGCTAGCATACAGATGAAATCTCGAGTCGATTGGATACTTGATGAACATTTGACCCAAAATTTGTTATAAACATTGTATTGGCAAATCCATTCAAGTTAAAAATTTGAGTTTGTTCAAAGTTTTTGCTAGCGACTTAATGGGTTGCCAGTCCCGGTATCCAGACGTTACCTACTTGATTATCTTCTTCGAGCTTTAATTTTAGTTCTTCAAATTTACTTGGTTGGTGCAATTTCTTCATTTTTTATGTTATCGTTAGTTTACTAATTAAGGCCTAGATAACCACCAGTCTTCTTAGTGCTTTATAGATGCATGTCGTCCCTTATTTAATTAGTCTTCATCTAAATGTATTAGATCGGGATTGCAACCCAAAGCTGCAAACACACACCGAAAAAAACATTTTTTTGAGACGATTTTCTAATATGTTCCTTTCAGATGGCGAGAGCAGAGTAACATCACCAGTACCATTACTAAATGGATCTCGTGATGCTTTTATATCGTACCTTATTCATGTGTTTGCAGCCGCCTCTGTGTGGTGCCCTGGTATGCTGTCACTAAACGTAACTTTGTACTGCAGGATCGAGGACGAGTGGGTGCCAGAGAAAGACGTGAAGCTCATCAAGAGAGTCGAGATTGCGTCACTTCCGGTCCACACGAAGGTGATAGTGTACGAGCAGTTCTGCATGTCGTACAAGACGCCTCCACCAGCCGTCACCGCGCCAGAACAGATTCCAGTCGTCCCGGAAGTGAGCCCACCGCGGAAGCTGCCCGCGAGACAGTGCACGTCGTCCCGCGTGCTGGCCAACTTGCTGGCCAAGCAGAAACGTGCCGCTGAAGAAAACGAGTGCGTGCCAGAGAATCCAACGACGTTGTACGCGCCCGTCGTCGACCACGAGCCGGCCGCCACCGGCGCCAAGAAGAGGAAGCTCGGACGGCGGTATGGCGGGAATTGCTTCTGGCCGTGCGGACGATAATTTCGACGCTCTTTTGGTTCGCGCCACATCGCCTCGCTCGTCCGTACAAGGTCAAGTAATATTTTCAAATTACATTGTTCACGACGTAACGTGGCCGGCGATGTGACGCGAGCGGACAGATGTTGATTCTCCAACGGGCGGGTGGCCGACGATATCCGATTTAGGAAAATTCTCGCCAAAGATTCGTTGACGACCCGCGACGCGGTTCATAGACTGCTAGTTGAGTGTAGCAGACGTAAATTTTATTCACAAGACTGATGCTTACTTTTTATAATGATATTGAGGTGATTGTCGTCGTCTGAGCGTCGTCGCGTCCGCGTACGGATGGATGTCGCTCGCCGAATGCGAAGAGTTCGGTCGCGAACAAAGTTGTAAATATTTAGTGCGATGTGTAAAAATGTTAGGTTATAGCAGGTTCATTTCGCTATTCGAGTTTTGATGTACACATTAGATTTTATTCGAGTGTTCGTTTTAGTTGGGTGTGTCCGGATCGCCGCGCATCTGGCGTGTAGTCTGAGTATATGTAAGTTAGTGTAAGTGTTGTCGCGGTTGCGACACGGTCGACCAGCGATACGCATCACTGCCAACGTGTAAATACTAGTTTATATTATAATACGTGATTCGTTTTAGCTTAGTGTAATTTTCGTTCGTCGCTTTATCGATGTGGTTTCGTTTAGTTATAATTACCCCGCGTCTCGACTTGCTTTCGCTTGCCTGACGTGCCAACGAGGATGGTCGTCGGACGTTGGATGCGTGATCATGAATGTTGCATTCGGTCTTCCGACTCGGCCCTCATGACTCACCAAGTGCCTCGATACAGCACAATTTACCAATAATGACGTAGTGTTCACGTTATATCAAGTTATCCCGCGTTATTCATATCAAACGAAACTCACAGCTAGTTTTAAGGTATTAGAGTTCAATTTTTATATTCGACTTATTCGAGTCCCAGTTTTCGTGTTCCAAAATAATGTTGAAGCAATTTTGACGACGCTTTACAGAATCAACAACTGTCTAAGGGGCTTATCACACTGTCAAATATATATGATCATATGTAGATCGATCTATTAGTTGATGAAGTTTTACACACTTTTAATGTTAATAAAAGGTTTTACAATATCTTTATATAGTTTAGGTATAATGTAGTGTGATCATTTTTTGTGTCTACCTTGTATTTCTAAATGTACTTACTACATATGATGCCATACGTATGATAGTGTGATATGCTCCGAAGTGTTTGTAAGTCCAACATTGTAGATGTCACTGCCATTCATGTTGTGTTTAGTTCTATAATGCCCGTTGTACTTTAGTATCGACTATGTACTTTTAGCAATAACACTATGTGATAAGACTTATAGTTCAATAACAGACGCATTCTCGCGCACAATTTTATATTACGAGCAATGGCAACACGGATAACAGCGTATCAAAGTATTCATCTGTAATACTATGGACATGATTTAGATAATGTTTAAAATATTATATTTTTTTTTATTTAGACAATAGTCTTATAATTCTTACAGTTGGGCTACCAGACGTTAGTAGTTGCTCTTTCGTTTCCATCTAAATTGTTTTTCTCTTACAACAAAGTTTAAAAGTTCCATAACAAGATAGTTACTCAGTAAAATGTGGAAATAAATTATAAATTTTATGTAAAAACAAAGGTATATCCGCACCGATGCGATATTTAAACCTTCAAGAAAAGAGCTTATTCCTTCTTAAAAGGCCGGCAACGCACTTGCAATTCCCCTGGTGTTGCGAGTGCTCATTGGCGGCGGTTATCACTTACGATCAGGTGAGCCGCAAGCTCGTTTGTACCCTATGCTATAATAAAATAATGTTAAAAAAACACCTTGCATTCGATATTATAAAAGTCTTTATTTCCGGTACCGTATAGCGATTTTCGACAATAAAAAGACCATTTATTATATTTCATCCATTCGTTGCCCAACTGTAATATTCTTGTACTGTAATTCAAACTCATCAACACAGATGTTTTCAACTGAGTTCTGTTTATATGTCACGTTATTTGTGTTTTAATAATTACTTAACATTTTAATATTGTATACGTAATCGACATATTGATGTGTCAAAATATTTTTTTGACAATATTTGTTCAAAAATTGTGTATACTTCAATTCTAGTTATTTATTTAGTCTGTTTATTATACATGGCATATTTTATATACAATAAGAAAATGAATATGTGGTTAGATCAAAAAAATTTTTGTACAATAATTATAATTATATGTTTGTATGTATCCAGTTTTATCTGCTATCAAACTTAAATTACAATTACTATGTTTATACTTCAACATTGTTTACAGTATATGCCAAATATAGTAAAACAGAATAAACTTACATTATTATTGAAAGGCAGTTCTAAAGGAATGGCATCGTTTACATCGTAAATAAGTGCTACATGTTTAAACAAGTCTGTTGTGGATTCTACAACTGATTACGAGATTTTAATCATTTTTTTTTATAAAATTGTCCATATTCCACAAAATAAGAGATATTTAAAAAAATGTTCAGTACTTTTATATATTATCTCCTTTGTATAGGTTCTTCAATAAATATCTTAAATAAATATAAAGATCTTAAATAAATTATCTGTCACCGGTACCATAGTTTACTATGGGACACAGTTACCTAGATACATCAAAATAATAATTGCATTTAATAATGTCTAGTAAGACAAGTTCTGACACGAACTGTGGTCAACTATCTATGGTTTGGTTATGGAAAAACTGCTGCGATGCCATTCTTTTTTAACTATGCCTCTTATAGACAAAGGAACATAATGTCAACGACATTTGCACCTACTCGTTATCGTCGTTAACAGAATAGTTCCATAGACAATTCAACATGTCTCTACATAGTCAGCGATCACGACTCAATTTACTTTGATTATCGTCATAGCTCACGGCGACCGCTGCATATGTGGGGATAATCACGTCTGCCAATCTAATCTTGAAACTAATTCCGATCGATCGATATTGGAATTCAAGAATAGATCAGTTAGTTTCATATTACTATGACTTATTACTCTAATGTTTTGTATAGTTTTTGTAACTCAAGAACAAACTTATACAAATATATTGTTCAAAATGATTTAGTAACACAATCGTTCACATATTTTATATTAGCATTATTGTTTATAAAAAATGTAGTTCCCGTATATTTTGATACAACAAACGAACATAACGCCAATGATTTTGACATGAACAATGTCAGTAGACGAATTACATTTAGTAAGTACCGACAATTTAGATGTTAATCTTTTTGGAGGTCCCTTATACAGAAGTTGTCGAATGGAATATTGCCTTTTATATATATATATAAGGGATTATACAAATGAAAGTTATTGTGTTCTGTGCTCACACGATCTCGCTAGTATTTTTAGTTAGTGCCTATAACTTTAAGTTAGGATGAAATGTGCGGATAGGGTATAAACGCCACGATGTATTTTCAAACTTTCGCTTTTCGATTTGTAAATGAAAAGAGATTCTATGTATTAGGTTCATTGTAGTGTGTAAAGCGTCTATAGTAATGCCGGTGGTATACTAAGAGGACGCTGAGGGTCGTAACAAGAAGAATAGAAACAAATGTAGATAGCCTCGTGAACGCACCGTTGACACCAATAAATTTGAATTTGTCCCGTGTCTTCCATCTCCCTTACACTCCCATTGGAGCAAAGATATTGTTCAAAAAGAGGTGCTAAACAACAAAGGCGTTCTTAGTCGAAAATACACTCTACTGTGGGTTTCAGACTGAGAAGTATAACGTTTTATTGTCATATTTATTGGATTCAATCACGTGTTCACGTTGTAATCTATACTTGGTTATAAGCTTAATGGATTGTATTTATATGCATTTGTCAGTCCCAATAATTATATGACTGACGTATGCGCATTGTAAAGTTGTAGTGTCTATATTAGAGGACGGTACTCGAGTTCGTTCGAACCTGTATATAAGTCTGTCTCGCTCGATTTAACTGTGATGAGCGAGACGGCGACATGCACTTACGTACGCACTCGCAGTAGGTATGGACGTAAAGAAATGTAATAGGAAAATTTCTCTAGTAGTCAAGTTGGTGCCTGATCGTCGGTGTGTTTATGGAATCGTATGCTTACTACAGTTGGACTTCTTTTTGGAGGGTTTCCAACGTACTGATTACATATTATTTTTTTAATAAATAAAAAAAATCTAGTATAATTTTTCAGCACTGATAGTAGTGCCATATTTTATTGGCTCGCGTTTTTTTTATAAATTATTTTTATAGTGAAATTCGACACCAAAAGCAGAAAGACAAAATTAGTTTGTTTTACAATATGGACTTGATATTTGATCTCAAATAAAAGGGCAGTGAGAAGAGGATAGTGGGGGATGTTTGTGTCGAGTGTACGGCGGAGATTTTCTAGGCGTGTTAAATTTCGCTCAATTAAACATTTTGATTGCTCTGTAAACTGCATTTGGCCTACGTCGTTAGAGCATTTCTGTTTTCGATTAATGGAACAGCGCGGTCACGAATAATACAAAATAACTATCCGACTAATGTAACTATCTCCATTAGAATAATGTTAGGCGTTCGAAACGTTAGGCAGAGAAATATTTTGTGTAAACGATCCTTATTCTCTACAGGATACTAAATTATATCGAAAGTATACATAGAATTCGTAAGCGCAAAAAAGAATTATATTTTTGTCACTGCCACAATAGTCGATAGTGTTGTCGTATGTGGGGTAAAGCTGGGAACACACTGTCGTGTCGTGACGTGTCAACACTTGTTACAACCACGTCGGTTTCATATATAATAATAATATAGCTATAAAAACAGGAGAATTTTCATACATTACCTTATTTGAAGTTACATATTAAAATGTTTTCTATAGTTCTAGTTTTAATATAATATTGTTTTCTGTATAATTGTCATTTAGTACTTTAGTGATAGTACTAAGACATATGTGTGGTCGATAGTTGCCTTTATTATTGTATACTTTCATAGGTACAGAGGTGGTAATGTAATAAATTCTTTCTACTTGGACACGTTCTTTAGGGACGTATAGTATCGTTTTTACCAATATATGAACCCGATCGCTTCAGGCAGGTCAGAACACGCGTCGACACGTTAGTTTGCTGTTAGCTTTAGGTTTGTGGGCGTCGCACGTCAACGGACGCGCCTCGTCACACTTGCTCAGCGAATAAACTAATTTAAGTTGTAATATTGTTATTTCCCTGCGAACAGATTCGCAGAACAATACCGTTCCGTTTTAGGTAACAAGAAAGTATTTTAATGGGGAACAAATAAATTTTACCCGACTACTACGTGGGTATGTTTTCTCAGTAGCCCTATTTGTAATGTATGTGAACTTATTTCGGTCTGTATTATTTGACGCGGCCTATCCACTGGTGATTGTGAAGGCGTGAAACATATTACAGCTGCGATGCAGACGCGCGAACGATACGTCGCCCGTCGTACGATCGACGACAAAAGTAGCTGAACATGTCCTGTCACGTTTAGTCTTATAATAAAAATAGTGTTCACGATTGTTTCGTCACTTTTGTTGCTGACTGTACGTTCGATCAGAATATTAGGATATACTCAAGTACAGACTTAAATGTTTATAGCCTGTACTCTGGAAATTTTATTAGGAAATGTAATTCGTATCGTTCCCGCAATGTGGCGGCGGTTTTGTTTTCTGGTCAATGTTGAACTGGAATACGTATGTAAATAGTTAAGTATTTATTATTAAGTATTATTCTGCATAGTTCTGTAATTTGCTTCGCGCCTGGTTTGGGCCTTTAGTGAGGGCGGCAGGGACCGGCGGCGGGACTATTTTAGGGCTTTAGATATCTGCGGATTCGGTTGACCACGCCCGCTGACTGGACGGCGGGCTCGATGGACCCCGTGGATAGACCCGGGTCCCGCGGCTGGCGCTCGAGCCGGGGATAGATAGTATAGTGGTAGTGTACGCAAGTTGTCTTTCAACATGTTTCCTATATTATGCGTTTATTATATGAATGTTCTCTTTTATTGTAAATGTTTGACGAAATACAACAGTAACTATATGTGGACTTATGTATCCCGAATAGTGTGCACTAATATTCAATTTGTAGATATTTAATTATATATAGTATAATGTTTAATGCGTTGTCTTATTTGCTTGCTCCCTGTATGGTGAAAACAGAAAATTAATTATAATTTTGACCCACAGCGGATGGGTAATCTACCTCAATTAATTTATCACACATTTGGGCATAATAATAGTAAATATTAATTTAATTCTGATCCCATAAATTTGTTCAATGTAGTGATTATTAATGTTTTTTTAATGCAATGGTTTGTCCACCTGTCACAATTACTGTATCTTATATTAAATACATATTGTATGATTGATAGAAATGTGTTTTATTGCACGGGGCCGGAGTACCTTTTGGTAATGCGACACTACGAGCGTCGCATGACACAGGATATTAACATACCTATCATTTGTAAACATACAAAAGTGTTACGAAACCATTAAATAGGTATATTCTATCATAGAAGGCATGGTGCAAATAATATCTTTTTGTGTTTGCTGAAAATACTTAGTTTTCTTTGTACCATGTTTGTGACAATCATGTAATTAACTTTAATAAGAAATACACAGTAGTAAATATAATTTATTTTTGGTTACATCATATTACTGTTGTTATGGAACAGTAAAACAGTAGCAATTGTAAATGTTAGATTAAATTTTTTCATTTCAACTAATGTGTTAACAGTATTTTTTATACTACGATGGTGGCAAACAAGCATACGGCTCATCTGATGGTTAACGGTTTCCGTAACGCTACTTATACACTTTTTGAAAAACCCATGCTGTAGTCTCTAGAGGAAACCTTTGTGGGTAGTTATTCTAAAAGCTATGAGTACGAGGGAGGAAGAATATAAATAATATAGATGATTGTATAAATAACTTAATCGAATTTATAAACGACTGAACTGACTGATATGAAAATTAGCAATTTAGCACAGATCTGATGGATTGGATGTAGATTGGCAGATAGGATCTTAGGATCGATGGTGTTTATCTCCTCAGGATAGAGTGTATACTTTCCAAACGATTTTACTATATTAATAAAGTTTTATTAACGAAGTAGACTGCAAAGACTCGTCTGTATGGATTTTTTAGTCTCACCTATTTCAGTCGACAAGCACCTTTGCAAGCTGGATTTCGGTTGAAGGGTCGAAATAAGGTATAGTAAATTTCAGGTAAAAGGTAAATTACAGCACAGTAGGAATGTAAAATAGTCACTCAGGAATGTAAAATAGTGATATCACACGCATCACATGATAATGCCTTGCCCTTTGGGTTATAGCCGATGGGACCACTTACCATCAAGTGGCCGTCAGGTTTTTTAATGGATGATAATGGAATTGTGCATCGCTTGCGTTAACGGTACACACTGACAGGACACCAGTGGAGGATGATAAGAA